GCAACGGTGCCATTTTGGTAGAGGGATAAATCGGTCGTTAGACAATCACCCTAAGCCAAACAATATTTCTACCTAAACCAATCTAAGACAAGTCTAGGGTAAGTAGAAGATCGTATCCACTGGTAATGGGTATTATGTCACCGAGATTATGAAAGGTTGTAATCTAGTTCGGTCACAAATTGGGGGTTTTGATTAATTACCTACTATGAGGACAAACACCAGGGGGAAATGGGAATCGACACCAACCAAACCAATGGATCAAAACAATAGGCAAGCATGAACATAAATTGGATGATAGAAAGGGCACTCAACATTGCCTTCTTTCAAAGCCACAACACTAAAGTTCTAATTCTAACATCAATCTAACAAGTTGAGAGGAGTAATAAATCTAAGTTGATTGAACATGCAATGACAAATAATCAAGATTAGAGAAGAAATTAACAATCCAAAGCAATTAAAAACAGAAAATAAAGAGTAAGAGATAGAGGAAAGAAATTACTAATGAAGCTTTAAAGTTGAGAAAATATTGAAATTGAGAATACAAACTTCAATTAATCTACTTCAATGATTGAGTTTGAGAGAAACTAAGCTAATTAATGAGAGTTTAGGGAACTAACTAAGAGATAAAGGTCTAAGAAAACCAAGGGAAGAGAAGATCCTAAAACTAAAGCCAAGGGTCGTATTTATATGACCCCCAAATAAAAAGGACGGAGAAAACAAGAATCAACTCGACTACAGGTCTACACGGACGTGCAGACATCTGCATGGACGTACCACATTATGCACGGCCGTGCATAGCCTGTAAACAAGAACCATTAGCTACTGTTTTGACACCCTGCATCCTGCACGGACGAGTAGGTTTTGGCACGGTCGTCGTGCAGGTTAGGGGTGTTCAGATCCGGGTACCCGGATTTTCGGGTACTCGGATCTTCGGGTAGTTGATAAGTCGGCCCGTGTCCCGTCCCGGATAATTCGGGCACCCGAATACCGGGTACCCGAATTATCCGGGACGGGACACGGGTACCCGGATTTTATTTGCTTGGTGATATGTTGGAGAAGAGGTATGTGCCAAGTTCGGCGTTGTGTTGTAAGGTGATTGATGTTTTGTGTGTGGAAGGGAAGGTGGATGATGCGTGTGCGTTGTGGAGGAAGCTTTTGAAGAAGAATGTTACTACTGATAATGTTATATCGAGTACACTTATCCATTGCATGTGTAAGGAGGGGAAGATTCAGGAGGCAAAGAAGTTGTTCAATGAGTTTGAAAGGAGTAAAGTTCCTAATGTGTTGACTTATAATATGCTGATTTCAGGGTTGTGTGAGGCAGGGGAGTTGTGTGATGCTGGAAGGTTGTGGGATGATATGTTGGAAAAGGGGTGTACTCCGAATTCATTTACTTACAACATGTTGATTAAAGGGTTTTGTAAAATTGGAAATCCTAATGAGGGGTTGAGAGTTTTGGATGAGATGTTTGAAAAAGGATGGGGAAGAGGAGAGAGAAAGAGAGTAGCATGGGGAAGAGGAGAGAGAAAGAGAGTAGCATGGGGAAGAGGAGAGAGAAAGAGAAGGATGAAGCTGGAAAAAAAAAAGATAGGGTGGCTTGGTCTGGGTGGGTGATCCGAAACTTTTTTTTTTTTAACGGGTATCCGGGTACCCGAGAATAGCAAGGTATGTCCCATGTCTCGGCCCATGCAAGTGCTATTTTACCTGGATGGGTACCCGACCCGAAAAAAACAGAAAATTTTAAAAATTTCCCGTCAGGTTTTTTGCGGGTCGTCGGGAAATCGGGACGGGACAACCAGGTCGGGTTTTTTTTAACACCCCTAGTGCAGGTAATGTAATGCTGAATCAGGAAGTACTAATTTGAACCCAGACACCCTGCACGGACGTGCAGGATTTTGCACGGCCATGCAGACCTGGGCAGTAGCAACTTCTCATTCTGACTTCATCTGCACGGACGTGCAAGGGCTGGCACGGCCGTGCAGGGGCTTCTTGGCCTCTTTCATCCTTCTTTCCTCAATCTTGTTTCTTTCTTCTTCATTCTTGCTTCACTTCTTTTCCTTATTGCCTAAAATTCCTTGCTTACTTCCCGAGATGCTTCTTAGTCCATTCTTGAGACCTAAAACATCATCAAAAACAATAACAACCCCGTGAAGCACGTAATACACAAAAACGTATAAAACTAGAGTGATTAGTGAGCTAAAACATTGATTCCTCACATATTCAAGGCTAAAAATCACTCTACAATATACCAAATAGCAAGCTATCACAACAAGGTAAGTTGTATGTTGATAATATAAAAGCATGTTAGTGTGTACTGTTTACGCTTATGTACTCAGCATTGCTGATTGCGTGTTTGTTTGGCCTTGTCTTTATCTTAGCCCTACGATGACCCATTTCTAATGGCGAGTAGTGGGGACAAAGTAAAGAGAAGCATTTCAGGTGATGAAGCATACTCATGATGGGCATGAGTGAAGAGCGATTCCTGTTTAGTTTCCATAAGAATATGATCTGTTTATTCGCTTTGATTGTTATATATTTTCTTATGAGAATAACACAAAGGTTTTAACATTCGTGTTGAGTTTTTATAAGGGCCTACAATAGTTCCAAGTTATAGGTTGACTTCGTTTGACTTTGGTTTGACTTTACTTTCGTTTGGTTTGATTTTTTAAGTTAACTTGTTTTGAATGGTTTTAAAGTGAGTCTTCCGCTATGTGTCTTTGATAATTGCATTAATCATTATCACAGTGGCGGTAATGTCTTAGAATTTCCTATTTCGTATTTTAAAAAGAGCAAAACAGGTATTATAAAGGAAAGGAATTTCTAGGGTGTTACAAAGTGGTATCTAGGAGCTTTGGTTGAGATTTTTATAACCACTAAAGCCAAAACGTGTTTTAAGATATTTTGTTTTAAACTTAGCTAAGTGTTTATTTAATTAAGTAATTTTAAAAGTGAGTTATTATATTTTATTTTAGTTAAATGAGGACCGAATATTTTTTTTTTTCAAAAAAAAAAAGGTCCGAATTTTATTTTTTTTTTTTGGGAAAAGTCCGAATAAAAAAATTTCACTTGGGGTGCCGAATTTTTTTTAATTATGGCCGAAAATTTGTCCTTTCCGGAATTTATTTTCAAATTTTTTTTTTTAATAAAGAGGAGCCAAAAATTATTTTTAGTTTGTTCATTTTGTAGGAAAGCGAAGGAAGAATTATGTGTTAAGAGCTTTAAAAAGCATGTTGTGAGCTTGGGTAGGAAAGAATTTTGGGCATATAAGTTAGAAATAATCATGTTCTTGTATGCATTAATATCTAGATTGTGATGGTTAATCATGTAAATTGATTGACTGGAAGCATGTAATTATGTGACTAGAAATAAGTAAAATTGTTTGATTGAATATTGAACCTAAATTCATGTAAGAACTGTGTCATTTTATTTTCTTTGGGAAGGGAATTCTTTTCTAAGTCTTTTCCTTTACATGATGCCGATCTTTCCTAGCAAACACTCTTAAATTGGTTCTCTAATTAAGAAAGATTTTGAACATCCCTTTGACTATGTCAAGAAAATTCGTTTCTATTTTTCACACATGAGCGATATCTTAGGAGACAAGCATTATGACCTTCCTGATCCTGTTTCAACTATGACAACTCATTGTATTCCTTACGAACCACCATATCTTGCTGTCAAAGCAAAATTTGCTGATTTCTATTTGCCTAAGGACATTCCAACTATTCCAAATACAAAGATTATTATGGACAGTGGTACCCTGACTACAGATACTTGATTTCTTATCTCGTTCGAGAAGAAAAGTATCACTGGGAGCGTTTACATATTCCATATCCAAATTATTACTATGATAACCCAGCAGAGAATAATTCCCCTTCCACTAGCAATCAATCAGGAAATTCTTCCCCACCACAAGGTAATCAAGCAAGAGCAAATGGAGGGCAAGAGGAAGGAGAGCTAATGGATGAGAGTAATCATAATATTGATAGTTCCATTATGGAGATTCTAAATCCAAATCCACCCCCAACTCCAATTGTAATTGACATTTCATCTGACGATGAGGAAGATGAAGAGTTCATTCAATTAGAGCAAAATCCAGAGACACTTGAACCAATGGAGGAGGAAGATGACCCTGAATTCGATCCTGGAAGCTTCAAATAATCGAAGGACAAGAAGAACAATGTTCAAAAGGACTAGATTTTTGTAGTTTCATTTCCTTTAGGATTCTTAGTTTCAATTCTGCATTTTAATTATTTCCTTTTTCACTAAAGTAATAAGTGGCATGACCACATTGAGTCGATAAACCTATTCAGTTGCGTAGGTTATTCGAACTCATTTCATTTTATTTTTTACTCAGCAATAAAATTTTATTCATTTCCTTGCCAAATAATTCATTTTATTGCCAAATCATTCATTCCATATCACTAATCCAATTAGCCATTTCTTACTCAACTATTCCAATAATTCAATTCTAAACTTTGGGAAATCATGGAAATTATTTTTATTTATTTATGTGATGCTTTATTAAATGTATGGTTGGTTAGCAATCAAAATTTGGTTGATCACACTGCAAATTTTGAGAGTTTTTATTTTGCAATCTCAATTTGTTAGCTTAAATTAAATGTGTGTGTGTGAAAGGTATAAGTTAGTTAGATGGGTGTTAAACTTGAGAGCTAACCATGACCACAATTAATAAAGACCCCTTATTTTAATTCAGGAAAAGGAAGATGGTAGGAGGAAGTGGGAACAATAATGAAGGGAATGAGTTGAGTGAAGTTATAAGACAGTTGGCAGTGGTCGCTTAACAGTTGGCAAGAAACTCGACCAACAATGGGGATGCTTAGGGGGAATTATTTAAGAATGTTGCGCAAAGCAAGCTACCAACCTATCAAGGCGAACCTGAACCAACAGTGCTGGAAACCTGGTTAAGGGAATTTGAGAAACTATTTGGGGCAGTAGGATGCCCAGAAAATTCGAAGGTGGGTTTTGCTACCTATTATCTCATGGGTGAAGCTGACCTTTGGTGGCAACAAAATAAGACTACCATCAAAGCACTACCTAGTTTCAATTGGACTTTGTTTCAAGTGAAGGTTAGGGACAAGTTTTACCCTAATTTCTTACAGAAACACAAAGCTGAGGAATTCTCTAACTTAGCAATAGGATATATGTCAGTCACTGAGTATTATACCAAATTTATTGAGCTGTCAATATTTTCCAAGGAGTCTATTGCTATAGAAAAGGAAAAGGCTAGGAAGTTTGAAAGTGGATTGACCACTAATTTGCAGCTAAAGTTGTGTGGACAAGTGTTCGAAACATTGGATGAATTTTATGGGAGGTCTTCACACCTTTATGCATTGGAGTTAAAAAAAAAAGGAATTAGCTGAGGTGGAAGGGAAGGAAAAGAGGAAAAAGATGGGACAAAACTCTAGAAACCCTCAAGGTAACCAGAATAATTTTTTAGAAGCAGACATACCACAACAACTTCAACAGCAACAATAACTTCCACAACAACAGTCATCAAAGTTTTCAATGGAGAGCCTAAGAACTCCAACCAAAGAAATTACAAGGGTCCAAGGCATTTTTACTGCAAGAGGTGTAGGAATGATCACCCTGGTAAAGACTGTGAAGGTAATTTGGTTACTTGTCGCGCTTGCAACAAGTTGGGACATAGGGAGTGCGAGTGCTTCTCCAAAGATTCTAATCGAAACAAGCAGGGTAATAATCAAGGAGGGGCTCAAAAAAACTTTCAACGGAACAACAACTATTCAGGGAACAAAGGGGCACAACAGTATGGGGTGAAAAGCAAAAATAATGGGAATAATCAGGTGAAGAGTGGAGCTCCAGGAAAACTGAATGTGATTAGTAGGCACAAAGCTGATACTACGAAGGATGTTATTACTAGTACTTTTTCTATTAACTCTATTCCTATTAAAGTTTTGTTTGATTCTGGTGCAACTTTTTCTTTCATTTCAAAAGCCACTATTTCAAAGTTATCACACTGTCTGAAAACCATAGATGTCATAGATGTACATATAGTTATTCCTACGGGAGGGGTAGCACAGTGTACCAAAACTATTAAGTATGTGCCATTAGAGATCAAGGGGAATGTGTTTTTGTCTGACCTCATTGAGTTTGGGTTAATTGAATTCAACGTTATTTTGGGAATGGATTGGTTGAGTAAGTATAGTGCAGAGATTCGTTGTCGATCACAGAAAGTGCAGTTAAGTACAGCTGAGGGTGAGTTGGTAACACATTGGAAGCATGGTGAAACAAAGTGCCCAAGGATCATATCTATGAATATGTTAGCAAAGTATATTAAGAAAGGACATCCAGTATATTTTTGTAGTGTGACAAACTTGGAACACGAAGAGACAGCTAGGCCTGAGAACATAGAAGTGGTAAATGAGTTTTTGGATGTGTTCCCAGAAGAGATTCCAAGAATGCCACCTAATAGGGCAATTGATTTCACAATAGAGTTGGTCCCAGGGACAACACCAATTTCCAAGGCACTGTATCGAATGACACCTGCATAGATGAGTGAGTTAAAGGAGCAGCTGTAGGACTTACTAGAAAAAGGATACATTACACCAAGTGCATCGCCTTGGGGAGCTCTAGTGTTGTTTGTTAAGAAAAAGGATGGGATTATGAGGTTATGTATTGACTATATGGAGTTTAATAAGGTCACTATAAAGAACAAGTACCAATTACCAAGGATTGATAACCTATTTGACCAATTGAGGGGCGAATCTGTGTTTTCCAAGATTGATTTAAGGATATTCCCAAGACTGCATTTAGAACAAGGTATGGACATTATGAGTTCACAATAATGCCAATTGGATTGACGAATGCCTGAGCAATCTTTATGGACTTGATGAATAGGGTGTTCCATCCATTTATGGACAAGTTTGTTGTGGTGTTCATAGATGATATACTGGTGTATTCAAAGAATAAAGAGGAACATGTGGAACATTTGAGGGTAGTTTTACAAACTTTAAGGGAGAATAAGCTTTATGCTAAGTTTTCCAAAAGTGAGTTTTGGTCAGAGAAAGTAGCATTTCTGGGTCACTTTGTGTCAAAGGATGGGATAGAAGTAGATCCAGCAAAGATTGAGACAGTGAAAGGATGGCCTACGCCAAAGACGGTGTTTGACATTAGGAGGTTCTAAAATTGCTAAGCCTATGACCTCTCTAATGAAGAAGGACAAGAAGTTCGAGTGGGATGAGAAGTGTGAGGAAACTTTCTAACTCTTGAAGAAAAAGTTGATTACAGCACCAGTGCTTACATTGCCAGATGATAGTAGAATCTACGATGTATATAGTGATGCATCCAAAAATGGTTTAGGATGTGTGCTTATGCAAAATGGAAAGGTGATTGCATATGCATCAAGACAATTAAAACCTCATGAAGTGAACTACCCTACTCATGATTTAGAATTAGCTGCAATCATTTTTGCACCAAAGATTTGGAGGAATTATTTGTAAGGAGTGAAATGTAGGATTTAAATAGATCATAAAAGTTTGAAGTACATTTTAACCCAAAGAGATCTAAACTCACGCCAAAGGCGATGGTTAGAATTTGCAATGGACTACAACTTAGACATACAATACCATGAAGGGAAAGCAAATGTAGTTGCAAATGCTCTAAGTCCTAAGACCAGTCATGGACTGAACACTTTAATAGTGGCTAATGAATTGTGTAGGGAAATGAGGAAAATGAACCTAGAAGTGGTAGAATGGGGAGTATCAGCAGGTATACTTAGGAATCTAAGAATTCAATCGACAATATTTGATGAAATAAGGGAAAATCAGGCAGGAGATGTTAAGTTGGATACGATTCGTGAGAAAACAAAGCAAGGAAAGGCTACAGATTTCAAAATTCATGAAGATGGGAGTTTAAGGTACAAGGATAGATGGTGTGTACCACAAAAATGTGAGGAAGTAAAGATAAAATTAATGGAAGAAGGTCATAATACACTGATAGGGTAAAGTCGTATCTCCTAATCAAAAGAATTACCTAAGTCCTCTAACTAAAGCAGATAGGGAAATAGGGTTGAATCCACAGGGAAACAAGTCTTTCTATTCCTAATTAATTATTATAATCTAAATTATCAAAGAGCAAAAAGGGTTTATATGAATTAATCAAAGGGTAAAATCAATAATAAAAATCCTAGGGTCGCAGGTTCACCAATAATTAATACTCTGGGATAAAACATAACAATCAACAATTAATATTACACATATAACATGATTAACAGGCTCTCGCAATTTATTAATCAACATAGATCTAACAGGCTCTCAAAATTAAAAATAGCCCTTAATATCAAATTAACATCTGCTCGATTCATTAATTCAATATTGCTATACTTTTACAATCAAATTACATCTGCTCGATTCATAATCCAATTATAAAGAATTAAAACAATTTAATAAGAAATTATCATGCAACATTAATAATCAACCAAAACAAATTATCCCTTCATATTAATTATGGATCCCCCAAGAACCCTAGAATTAAACTACTCACACATAATTAAATATAAACTAACCAAAGTAATTAAAGAAAGCATGATTAAAAGCAATAATATTAAACTAAATATGAAAACTATAATCAGAAGAACTTAAAGAAAACAATATTAATGAAACTAGTAGAAGTCAACTAATACTACTAAATTGTCGAAAAGCGAATAAATACTACCGAGCAATAATCCTAATAACCCTAAGTAAATAAACTAATAAAGCTGCCTAAAGGAAACAAAACTAACTAATGAAAAAGCTAGCCCCCACTCATACGTACTACTAATCCTTGTATAAAAACAATATAAGAGGAGTTTTAGTGGAAGTTAAGCTACTACTCCCACTAAAACTATGACAACCAACCAGCTCCCCCATCAGGTGTCAGCAAGCCCAAGAATTTATAGGCACAATAGCTGAAATAGTCTGACACTGTCATGCTGAAGATATCCGCCTGACCGGGCCAGGCCTCACCCGATCGGGCCCGGTCAGCCGCAACAAGCTAGGCTGCTTTGCTTCTCCTTGGACTTGGGCTTCTTAACTTGAGTCCAAGTTCTCTATAGTGCTTGGTCCGTGTTTCGTGTGGGAACTTTGGACCTCTTTTGCTTAATCGAGCCCTTAATCACCGAACTAAATTTCTCTCATACAGCCTTGGGCTTGAAATATCCGGTCATAATATATTATCAACCTCCAATATCTTTGTAGTGGTTTAATAAGTTTGGGAATTATTATAATTCTGCAAATTCCTACAAAATAATACCAACTCGATCTACAAAAATACTAGCAAATGTATATTAGTAATAAAAATAACTCCGCAAAGCTCAAATAAGCATAAATATGACCATGGGACGGGGAATAAATATATATATAAAATAGACTCATCATACACCATACTCAGTACACCCAGGAAGGGATAAGCTATACAAAGACTTGAAAAAGATGTATTGGTGGCCTAGAATGAAGAATGAAGTTGCGGAATTCGTAGCGAAGTATCTAACTTGTCAAAAGGTGAAAATAGAGCACAAGAGACCGCAAGGAACCGTGTAATCATTAGAAATTCCTAGATGGAAACGGGATGAGTACAGCATTTCACCCTGCCACAGATGGACAAATTAAGAGAATTATTCAAACTGTGGAGGATATGTTGAGAGCTTGTGTCATAGACTTCAAAGGGGGATGGGAAGATATTTTGGACTTAATTGAATTTTCTTATAATAATAGCTACCATGCGAGCATTGGCATGGCTTCATTTGAGGCATTATATGGAAGAAAGTGTCGTAGCCCGGTATGGTTGAACGACATGAGTGAAACAATGATCTTAGGGCCTCAAATGATTGAAGATACTATTAAGCAGGTAAAAGAGATTCAAGCTAAGATTCAAGCAGCACAAGATCGTCAAAAGAGTTATGCAGATTTGAAGCGTAGGGAAGAAGAGTTTGAAGTTGGTGACAAAGTGTTGTTCAAAGTATCACTAATGAAAGGTGTCATGAGATTTGAGAAGAAAGGGAAACTTAGCCCAAAGTATATTGGTCCATATGAGGTATTACACAGGATAGGCAAAGTAGCTTATAGGTTGACCCTACCTATGGAGCTAAGTAAGATGCATGATGTATTTCATGTGTCTCAGTTAAGAAGGTATATACCTGATAAATCACATGTGCTAAAACCTGAAACAATGGAGTTATAACAAAGCTTAACTTATGAGGAAAGACTTGTCAAGATCCTTGACAGTAAAGTGCATAGTACACGCAACAAGGAAGTTAAGATTGTTAAAGTGTTATGGTCTAACCAAGAATATGTGGAAGCAACTTGGGAAGCCGAGAATGAGATGAAAAATAAATACCCTGAGTTGTTTGAGGTATGTTGAGTTACGGGGACGTAACTTGTTTTCTTTAAAGGGGGGTCGAATTTCGCTCTTTTTCCTCTATTTTCAATTATTTTAGTGCTTTTTGCACATTTTTAACGGTTATTTCGAGTACTTTTGATTTCAAGGAGACATTAAAAGTAAAAGTATGTCAAAAGAGTGCAGCAATATTACACAAAGTGAGGAAAAATGTTGATTTTTTGTTATTTTTAAGGGGGGTAGACTGTAATACCCCATATTTTTATACGTATATCAATTTAAAACATTATTTTATGAAGTATTTAATAATTTAAAATGAATTATTTATGGTATTTTATTAATTTAAAAAGGTTTATTTTAGTTAAAAGGTCCATTTTCATTTATTTAATTGTTTTGGAAATATTTTATTTTATTATTTAAAAACTTTGGGGCATAATTATTTTATAAAAGGAAATTTTAAAGTCAATGGAGTTTTAAAGAAAGTCAAATGTCATTTTGAATAGGAGTAGGAATCATTAAGGGTAGAAAGAATTTAAGTTAGGAGGGTTTTGAGAGAGGGTATAAATACCCATCATATGAGGCAAATTAAACTTTGCCCAAGGTGGAGAATACAAAAAGGTAAAATCTCTCTTTCTCCTCTTATTTTTCTTTCCCATTAATTTTTCCCCCTCCCCTTTTATTTTCTCACCTCCACGTCACACACCACACATGCCACCCACGTGTGGCCGGCCACCACCACAGGCACCCACCGGCCGGCCACCGCCACCAGCAGGTGCCGATAGCAGCACCACCAGCGGGCGCCCCCGGCAGCAGCCCTGCCATGGTGGTGTGCGTGCGCAACCTTCAACAAAAAAACAAAAAATCTTCTTTGTTTTAATTTAATCTAGCCTTGATTTTAATTATTGTTTTTGGGTTGTGTGATGATTTTATAATGTTTTAATTATGATTGGTATGCATATAAATTTAAGATTTAGTTTTTGAATTAAAAAGCCCCAAATAGAAAACCCTAGGTTTCTAAATTATTGTTTATTGATGGGATCGGATTTGATTGTAGTTGATGAAAACTATTGAAATTAATGTTTTTAATCAAAATCACAGCAAGTCTATATGTTCTTATAATGCTGGAATTTTTATATAAAGGTTAGAATTATGTTTCTGTAAAGGATTTTTAATTACCCAT